CCTGGTTGAAGTCGGACGCTTAACCGACTGCGCCACCCAGGCGCCCCGTGAAATACATTTTAGAAAGTCAAATAAAAAAATGTCCCTCCATTTGGAAAATAGCCCCATTATGTGCAAACTCAGTTCCATCAATAAAACAAATGACAAATACACTAGTGGACGTGTTTTTCCAAATTATAGTAAAGAAAAAGCTGGTTATGTTTCCACGTGTAAAAGGGGAGTGCTGTTGATTCTCAAGTTGTTAGAAGAGGAAAATACTACAAATTCTTGTGACTGACTCCTTCTAAGAGTAACTAAACAGGCCTTTCAGTAACATCTGACCAGGTCTTTCAACATCATGAACTAAAATAAACAGTCTTCCCAACAGCACTTATGACTGATAGCCTCACTCACAGTAAATTACCAATTTATCAGAATTTACCAAGTTCTTTACAAAGAACAATAGGTCAGCCTTTCCACTGATGTATAAATCAAGTTACCAAAACCATAAACTATGACAAACTGTTAAAATGCAGATGTTTATGGCCAAATCCTAAATCTGACCTATGTCTTCAAAGGGTTTGTTTATTTTTAACATCCTCAAAGTCAAATATCAGCAGTAAAATCTATCTTTTCTGGTTCTTTGCACTGCCATAAGGTCAATGTATTCTAAACAAATGGATTTGGTGCTTTTAGCAACTGTTACATAAGGCTCAAATATCCACAGTGGGGGGAAATGCCATCAAGAGAAAAAGGTATAAAAAGATTTTGTTAAGCTGTGATTTTCAAATCAAACATGCAAAAAATTAAACAAACAAAAAAAGAACTGCCTAATTTCAGGGAAGAATATTTAAGCAACAGGTGGTAAGAATGCAATAAAATATAAATATTTTAATGATGTTAGCAAAAAATACATATCAAATTGATAACAAAAGTATGGAAATACTTTATATACTACACACACACATATATATAAACAAAGGTTGGAAAAGAATTTGGAATACTTTAAACACTTAAACTATTCAATGGGGTGTTTTTCTATAAAACGTTAATTATAATATAAAGAAAACTGGAAAAAAATGAAATATTCTACATTAAAAACTGCATAGTACTCATAAGTTAGTTTTTCTTAATTCCAAATAAGCAGAAAATGAAGTGATGTCTAAAAACTGTACCAATTAAGTCCACTAATTCTGACATTCCTTTCAGAATACAAAATTGCAATTGTTCTTGGTATAAATTAAAATGTATTTTAGGGGCGCTTGGGTAGCTCAGTTGGTTAATCATCTGACTTTGTTTGGCTCAGGTCATGATCTTGCAGTTTGTGGGCTCACGCCCCGCGTTGGGCTCTCTGCTATCAACACAGAGCCTGCTTTAGATCCTCTGTCCCTGCCTCTCTCTGCCCCTCCCCCAACTCACATACACATGTGCACACATGCTTTCTCTCTCTCTCTCTCTCTCTCAAAAATAATCATTAAAAAATGTATTTTATATATTTACATTTGCTCCACAGGAGAGATTCCCAAATCTGGCTATGTATCCAATCAACTGGGGAACTTTCAAAAAATAAGTCTCATGGGCCCATCTCTTAGAGATTTTGATTTGGAAAGTCTGCAGCAAATATCAGGAATCAGTATGTATGATACAATACAAAGCTCAAGTTGGTGTATTAAAGGAATTCCTCCTCTGATTCAGCTAGCTCTTGGACTGGTCCCTTATTTCAGTGCTTTTCAAACACTACTATACATACCAATCACCTTGCAGATGCCACTAAGAAGCAGATTCTGATTCAGTAGGTCTGAGACCTAGGAACTTGCAGTTCAAACAAACTCCCAGATGATGTCCACGCTGCTGCTCCAGGGACCACGTTTTGAGTAGTAAGACCTTATGGACTCTCTTAGTCTTTCCACAGGTGAATGATAGAGAAGGCACTCCCCTAAGCAGTCCCTGTCACTAGAGTATTTTAAGTTTTACCTAAACATCCTTTAACATAGCTAGAGTATACAATTTGCAAAATACTTAACATATCTTTACTATGTATTCTACTAACAAGTGAATGGAAATTATTTCCTCCATTTATAGAGTATCACTCAAAGATCAATGTTACCAATGTCACAATGCAGAAATGAAATTAAAATGTACATATTTTCATTATATATACAAGTATGTTGATCACAACTGTGGTTATAATAGTGAAAAACTGGAGAAAATTCTAGAGGTCCAACAACAGATGACTGATTAAATAACTTATAAAGGGTGATTATTAAAAATAATGATGTATGGGGCACCTGGGTGGCTTTTCCAGTTGAGCGTCCGACTCTTGATTTAGGCTCAGGTCATGATCTCATGGTTCGTGGGTTCAAGTCCCGCATCAGGCTCCACGCTGACAGCACTGGAACACGCTTGGGATTCTCTCTTTGTCCCTCTCTCTCTGCCCCTCCCCCCTATGCATGTGCATTCTTTCTCTGACAAATAAAACTTTTTTTTTTTTTTT